TATAACTTTTACAGCCTGCATGCCTAGAGAGTAACTTCTGTGTACGGTGTAGTTGGTGTGTGTGTGTGTGTGTGTGTGTGTGCTTTCTTTGCATAATTGTCTGTGAATATTTAATCTCTTGCATGATATCTAGATAAGGGCCTGTCTGTGGCCTTATTAGAGCTGGCAATAGGTGGTGTTTGGGTGGAGGGTGGTGTGATTTCTGTTCGAGCAGCACATGGTCCAAAGAAGGCCTTTTGTCCTAGCGTGCTCCCCTGTAGATCTGATCTGACCTTTTTTTGAGGGGTCCTAACTCTCATAGCCCCTGTGAGATTGGAGATGGTGGCTAAGGTTGGGTTATTCATCCTTAAATTCAAGCTTAGGCTCTGAGAAGTTAATAAGAAAGGGAAAGAAATGAGTTCGCCAAACTCAGGCAACTGAGTAACATGAAATCGCTGGAGTAAGATGGGAAAGTTTGAGTGCGAGACCCGCCACTCCAAGATGCTAGATATAAGCACTGTATCCAGGCTGTAAACAAAGGGCCAATTCCTATCCCTATAGAGACAGATCTTGGGAAATTCCCAGGGGAAACTGTGTGCTAAATCAGTTCTGACGGCATCGTCCGGGCGTTCAAGTTATCCTTTGTGCATCTGACAGATCCACCGGCGTTTTCTGGCTCAAATGAGCGCGTAACCGGCCTACAGTTTTTTTTTGACAGTTTGAGACATCTGGAACGAATAAAGAAGGTTGGTGTTTTTCGAGCACTTGAGTGGGTTGGTAACACAAAAGCTCTGATTTCTCCCAGGCAACCCTGAGGGAGTCAAAAGAGGTCAATAATATCAGCCAAGGTTTGTGTGCTTTCTCCACAAGCAGCACGCATTTTCTCCCTTTCTGGCTAATGGAAAAGGAGACGGCCCGTGAGGCCCCAGCACTGAGTGGCGGCGCGAAAGAGGAAAGTGAACGGTTCTGAATCCCGTCTTTCCTCGATGGTTCTTTTGAAGACCGCAACCCGAGGGGCTCTGGGAAGCACGGATCCTGTCTCTACTCTCAACCACTGACCCTGAAAGTGAGATGGAGTGGAGGATCTTTGAGGAGGTGAGGAGGGCGGGCGTGGGATGTGCCAGAGCAGTAGCGAGGGAAAACTCCCTGGCTTTCTCCTCCCAAATGGAAATCCAGCTATCTTAGTTGGCGAGATGGAGGACAGAGAGTGGAG